AAACCTGTTCTGCATCATAACAACAGGCAAGCTTCCTCTGACAGACGTGATGGCTGCGCTGGAGGTGCACTGGCCAGGAACCAACCTGGGTCTGCCGCATGGAAGGTGAGAATTCTACCACGGAACAACCAGTGCCCCAACATAGCTTTTGTTAATGAAGATATAATGTTTTGGCTTTGAGGTGTGAAGTCATCTGCTGATTCTAGAGCTTTCCAAGTCTTTGTCTATTAGCATCAGAACCTCTTGAAACTTGACATACCTACATTTTGACATTGGTTTGCTGTTCTTGTACCCAGAGTTCCCTTCAGAATTACACAAGGTAACAGTCTTCGAGTGGCAGAGAAATCTGACTCACTGAGTTCACTCAACAGTAAGCCTTGGCTTTGTGTTAGCAAAACAAAGATATATAAGGCCCAGTCCTTGTCTTTCAAGGAATCTATGAGCTAGTGGGAAGCATGTACTGTGACATATACTCCAATGAGTATTGCTCAAACTGGAAAGTAATAAACCGCTAACAGAGAGAAAGCCACAGACGTCCAGAGGAGGTAGCAAGGCCATCAAATAGAGGTAATCAGGATAGGTTGTGTGAGGGTGTGGCCTTCAACTCTAAATACATAGGGTTGGAGGGGTTGGCCCAAGCAGGGTGGGGAGGGTGGATGCAGACAGAAGAAAGAGCTTTGTGCAGTTGCTTCCCAACGGGAATGTGGCCAGTCTGGCACAGTCCTTTTGCAAGCAGCTTTCAGCTGGGCTGCAGATGCTGGAATTCCATCTACCACCAGAGTCCACTACTGGACTAGTTTGTCTCATCACAATGCAAATATTTTTCAAAAGGCATTAAACATTGCTTTTTCTCACTCATTCGTAAAGACATTGAAGAAGCTCCAGGGCCTCATTTTTTAGCCATACTTCCACTTAGCACTTACTTTGGGTGATAGATCTGCTGATTAGCTATGTTCTCAGTGTATGTTAGTCAGCCGACTCCTCTCAGGCCATTTGCATTCTCAGGCTTATCTGGCATTGTCAAATTAAGGGCTGAGTTCCCTTACTACAGGGATTTCAACCATAAGACAGCAGCTGTTCAGAGATTTCTTTTTGGGTGGAGGGGCCTTCCTGTGAAAGTGCTTGGCCTTGAAAATATTTATCTACAGAAAACCAACTTGGCTGAGTGAAATGTTTTTTGAGAAGCAGTCATTGACAGCTTCCACTCACCATCTTCCCTGGGCAAATCCTAGCATGGGAGCATGGAGGCTGCCATAACAAATTACAACACACTTGGTGGCGTAAAATAACAGTAATTTATGCTCTCAAAGTTCTGGGGGCCAGAAGTCTGAAATCCAGGGTGTCAGCAGGGCCGCGCTCCTTCCTTGGCTTTTCCAGCTTCAGTGGTTGTAGGTGATGTTGGTTTCCTTGGCTTGTGGCCACGTCACTCCAATCTCTGCCTCCATCTTCACAGTGCCGCCTTCTGCATCAAATGTCCTTCTGAATTTCTCTCTTTTTTAAAAATATTGTGTTTTAGGTGAAAGTTTACAGAACAAATTAGTTTTCCCATGCAACAAACTGTACACAAAGTGTTCCATGACATTGGTCCTTCTGCCTTTCTCTAATAAGGACACTTGTCATTGGATTTAGGGCCCACCTGGAGAATCCATGATGACCTCATCTCAAGATGCTTAACTTAATTCCATCTGCAAAGACCCTTTCTCCAAGTAAGGTCACATTCAATCTTTTACCATACAAGACAATATGCACAGGTTGTGGGAATTAGAATGTAGACATATCTATTTGGGGCCTACCACACTCCCATCCCCCAGCAAGCAGTTACAGTGGGTATCAATTACAGCTTAAAAGGTGCCATGTCATTTAAGCCATTCTGGGGGCTGGGAATAGAGGGGCACACTGTTGAGTACATCTGAGGACAGCCGTGTATGGAGTCCTACAGTCTGGCCAGGCCTCTCCTGGCCTCTGGGCTCTGGCCCTGGTCTGGAGGGGCCTTGAGACTTTGTAGGAGAGGGCACTTGTCTGCCCCAGAGATACAAGACCTGAACTAAACCCCTTCTGCACCTAACTATGCAGCCTTGTAAGAACCCAGGGCTGGGAGTTAGGACATCAGGTTCTACTTCCTGCCTTGTCACTCACTTTGTGGCTTAGGACAAACACTCGGCTTCTCTGAGCCTCAGTTTCCTCATGACGTATTAGGCCATAGACAGTCTACAAGGGCCCTCCCAGCTCTTCATAGTCTCTTTCAAGTAAATGGTTTGGAGGAGGGGAAGAGAGGGGAGCTATATACACAGAACTAGAGGCCAGAGTGGAGGCTGAGAAGGAGCAACTTGCCCTTAAAGCATCTGTCTCCTGAGGGGAGTAGGGCAGCCCCCATTCCTTGGTGACCTTAGGTTCCCCAGGCATAGGCCTTTCTTGTTTTTCTGGAAAAAGAAGCACCTAGTTCTGCAGCCCGCTACCTAAGCCCCTAGTAAAGGGAAACAGGCTCCACCCCTAGCGTAGTTCACCCCTTGGAGCAGGAAGAACAGCACTGAAACGTCCCTCCCTCAGTCTGGCTGCTGGGTCTGGGGTCCCGGGCAAGGCTGACCCCTGAGAGTTTCGGGGGATGCCAGAACTTTGTGCTCTGCCCATGCTTAGCCAGCCATGCCTGTCATCACTTGCTCACCACCACAGAAAGAAGCTCCACATCCCTCTTCTGCTGTGCTCTTCTGCCACTCTGCGCTGATTGCTCTCCCCTAGCTAAACACCCTGTCACCCCTTCCTCCCCAGAGCCCAAACCACTCCACCGTTTGGTTCACAAGCCTCTCTACAAGCTCAGCATTCACCTCCCGCAGGAACTGACACCTGGCTCTCCCCCAAGGACTCGGCTACCCTGCAGCCCTCTCTAGCGCAGGTTGCTCATTTTCTCACACTCTGCAAGCTTGTGGGGGTGGGGAGGACAAGCCTCCCTGCTCCCCAAGGCCACGTCCACACCGTTTCCCCTCCACTCTCTGAAGCTGAAGTCATGCCCATGCCCACCTTCCTCCTGGTCACTCCCTCTTATTTATTAAAGACTTTGGCAGTGAGCTCACGCCTTCTTTTCACTCAGCTTGCCACCATCATCCTCGGTGGCCTTTGTGGTCAGTCCACCCCACACCCTGGGCTCTCTGTCCCTTGACCACATGTCCAAAGACGTTCCCCTTCACTCCATTTCAGCCACACCCTCCCCTGGACAGACCTTCTTCCTGACACCAGGAATTCAGACATTAACTCCCATGTCATAATCTCCCAACCTTCTGACTCATTTGTCCAGTTACTGCCATCACACTAGGGCCTCTAATCCATTTATCTCTCCACTTTCCCCCAGTCTGCCAGCCTCTTTGGGCCTTATGTGGCTTCCTATCCAGCTTGAACTGCATGTTCAATCACTTCAACAATTCTTATTCAATTCCTCTAAATCACTAAACCCCAACCATGGATGAGTCCGATAACCTTTTTCTGAGCAGACCCCAGAGTGCTGAGCACTGCTGGAGAAAAGCACATAGCCTAGAAGATTGGGGCCCCCAGGTCAGCGACAACCCACCTCAGCTGGGCCCTCAACACTGCCAGCAATCCCTCTGTTCTAGGCCCATGGTACTAGGAACTCCTCAGACCTAAGGCTAATCCTTCCATTCTCACCACCTCCTCAGAGGCCTTGAGCCACACTTCCTGCTGTTTCTCCTGAAAAGACAACCTCTCCCCATGTTCCAGAAACCTCAGAAAGCATCAAAACAAGCTCTTAAAAATAAGTAAGTCCTCTCTTGTTCATGGACCTGCGTCCTCACACTTCTTGAACCAAATGTGTACACTCCCTGCCTCCATTTCCCCACTTGCTTGCCCTACCCAGCTGCTGCCCTGGCACAGATGACCCTCCTCCCTTCCCTGTGTTTCTGTGACATTACCTGTATCTCAGTCCCATCCTCTGGCCCCAGAAGGTGGACGCTCCTCTAGGCTCTCTTCCAGATCCTCTGCTCTCTGTCGGTCTCATTCACTCTCGAACTTTCAACTCCCACCCACAAATCTACATCTCCAGACAGTTTCATCCAATTGCCCACTCAGATGATGTAGAGACTGCTCAATATCAACATGGCCAAAACAGAATTAATTACCTTCCCTTCAACCCACTTCTCTGAGTTCCCTCTTCTCAGTGAGAGCAGCTCTACTCATCCTATCCCAAGCCAGACCCGGGCCCAGCTTGTAAAGAGCAATATGTTTTTGCTTTTGAAAAAAGCAATATTTATTGAATGAAAAAATGAATACTTGACCCCTCCCTCATTCTCCACAGCCAATCACCAAGTCGTGTCTATTTTACCTCCTCATATATCCCTCGAATTCGTCCTCTCTGCTGCTTATTTATTCAGGCTGGCTACCGCCTATGCATCCTTCAAAGGCTTCCTTGACCTCTCGGTTCGGGACAGGGATCTTGCTCTGTGTTCCCATAGCGCAGATCACAACGCCTTGCCCAGCCCGCTCTGATCTGTGACACCCTCATAGGACTGGAAGCTTAACATCTGTAAGCTCCCATAGCCAAGCGCATAGCAGGCGCTCAGTAAATGCTACGTGAACAGAGTGAATGAAGGAAGTAATGAGACCATTGTGGGAAGCCGCCGCTTTTCTCCAGAGCGTGCACCGCTTTACAGCCCAGCAGACCACGCACGAAGACCCCGGCCAGCCGTCGCCTCCTTGCATCCGGGATAAATCGCTTTTGCCGGGAGAGCAAAGGACGTGGCTGGCAAAGACCCCACCTCTGCCCCATCGGGGCTCCCAGTGGCCAATGGAAACAGTCTGCGGGAGCGACTTCGAGACACGTTACACTCAGATGAGCCAATGGATGCGCCCAGCAGCGAGTCCCGCCCCCTCTGAGCTCCTCTGCTTTTTCGCCGGCCAATGGGCGCGGCCTGCGTAGGCACCCAGAGGGGCGGAGCGGATCCTCGGCGCGGTGGCCTGGGCGTCCGAGATCTTCCGCCGTCTTCCCACGTCGGCTGGTTCAGGCGAGCGCACCCTTGGCTCCTGTCTGGCTCAACCAACGGATGATGGGGGTTCTGGGCGTCAGGCGCGGCCTGGAGTGGCTGCTGGGCGTCTACTTCCTCTCCCACATCCCCGTCACCCTGCTCATAGACCTCCAGGCGTTGCTGCCGCGCGAACTCTACCCGATCGAGGTGAGGGGCGCCCTGTCGGTCCTGGCCCTCCGGTCGCCGAGTTTGAGGCCTCCGTGCGCAGCGGTCGTGCCCTTGCGTCCCACATGAGCGCCCCCTACCCCTCCGCCTTTATCCACTCGGGGTTCCGATTCGGCCCACCTTTCCACCCGCCACACCACCCTACCCCCGCCTGCCTGGCGTTCTGCCCGTTCGCCGGCGCCCTGCTTACCCATCAACTAGTCTTAGGTCGGTTTCTTCTTTCTGTCCCAGCCCCTTCCCGCAAGCCGCAGGGGGCGCAGACTTTGTTCCTTTTAAAGGCTCGCCCACTCCATCTCTGGTTAGTTGTTAGTATTTGAGGAAAGCCAGGAAGAACAGTGTCTAAATCACGTGTTGGCTTTGTTTAAAGTGTTTTTTGGAAGAGCTTTAACATCCCAGTCTAATCACAAAGAAGTAATCCAAGTAGAATTAGACCTATTTAAAGGTTTAGTAGGAGTCCTGGTGGCGCACTGGTTAAGCGCTCAGCTGCTAACCCGAAAGGTCAGCAGTTCAACTTACCAGCCGCTCTGCGGGAGAAAGATGTGGCAGTCGGCTTCCGTAAAAACTTACAGCCTTGGAAACCCTATGGGACAGTTCTTCTCTGTCATGTAGGGTAGTTAAGAGTCGGAATCGACTCCACGGCAACGAGTTTTTTTGTTTTTGGTTTGTTTTGTTTAAAGGTTTAAGCACCTTGGTTTGTGCTGCTTGGCCAGTTACAGATCGTCATTAGTTCAAGTTTAGGATCCAGTAACTTCAAAAGTTCTGAAGAAAATTAATGGTACCTTTTTCAAATTGGCCCTTTCAGTTGGGTTAGAGTGAAATTGATTGCCTCGGTAGAAATGAAGTTGAAAAGCCCCATTTCTTGGCATTCTTTACCAACAACTTTAAGGCTTCTTTTCTTCAGAACTACAGTTTTCGTTTCCCTGGTCTTGTCTTTTCTGGACCCTGCAACCTTCTTCCATGGAATTCCTATCCTCAATTCTATGTTTCTCCAACCTGTCTCGAGAACTGTTGGCAAGACTGACTTGTCTACGCCAAGATTTGATTTTGCCTCTGCTCCTCTTCAAATGCTTTTTCTCTGCAGAGCCAGCGTTCTTAACCTGACATCTGTAAACCTGCAATGGTATATGCAGAATCCTGTGTGCCTTGTGTTTTCTGGAATGAGCATCTGTAGCTTCCATCAATTTTTCCAGGGGTCTGTTGTTAGTTGTTAGGTGCCGTCGAATTGGTTCCAACTTATAGCCACCCTGTGTACAACAGAATGAAACACTGCCCGATCCTGTGCCGTCCTCACAATCGTTACTATGTTTGAGCCCATTGTTGCAGCCACTGTGTCAATCCATCTTGTTGACGGTCTTCCTCTTTTTCGCTGACCGTCTACTTTACCAAGCATGATGTCCTTTTCCAGGGACTGGTCTCTCCTGATAACATGTCCAAAGTACGTAAGACAAAGTCTCACCATCCTTGCTTCTAAGGAACATTCTGGCTGTACTTCGAGACAGATTTGTTCGTTCTTCTGGCAGTCCATGGTATATTCAGTACTCTTCACCTACACCATACTTCCGAGGCATCAATTCTTCAATCTTCCTTATTCATTGTCCAGCTTTCACATGCATATGAGGCGATTGAGAATACCATGGCTTGGGTTAGACACACCTTAGTCCTCAAAGTGACATCTTTGCTTTTTAACACTTTAAAGAGGTCTTTTGCAGCAGATTTGCCCAATGCAGTGCACCTTTTGATTTCTTGACTGCTGCTTCCATTGGCGTTGATTGTGGATCCAAGTAAAATGAAATGCTTGACAACTTCAATCTTTTCTGTTTATCATGCTGTTGCTTATTGGTCCGGTTGTTATGTTAAGATGTAATCTATACTGAAAGCTGTGGTCTTTGACCTTCATCAGTAAATGCTTCAAGTCCTCTTTGCTTTCAGCAAGCAGGGTTGTGTCATCTGCATATCACAGGTTGTTGATGAGTCTTCCAACAGTCCTGATGCCATGTTCTTCTTACAGTCCAGCTTCTCGGATTATTGTATGTGCCTTGTGTTTCCTGGGATGAGAGTCTATAGTTTCCATCAACTTTTCCAGGCGGTCTAACCCTCCCCAAAAAGGCTAAAGGCCACTACTCAGCAATGTGTCCCCACCTCATAGTCTTTTTTCTTTGCTTCTAGAACCAAGCATAACTGGGAAGACCTCTGACCTCCCTTTCCACGGGAAAGGCATAGGTAGTGTGTGGCAAGAGCATTGGATTGCAGTCTGGGAACTTTGTTCTCCCAAGAACTGGCTGAGAGTCTTGGGCATGTCAGTTCTGTAGTAGCAAATGTCAAATAAGAGAGTTGGGTTAAATTGCAAGCTTAAACATATACAGGGTATATTACTTTCCTCTTGTTGCTGTAACAAATTACCACAGATTTAGTGGCTTAAAACAACACAACATTATTCTCTTAAAATTCTGGAGGTCAGAAGTCTGCAGTGAGTCTTATGGGGCTAACATCAAGGTGTGGGTACGGGCTGGTTCCTTCTGGACGTTCTGGAGGATAATCCATTCTTTGCCTCTTCCAGCTTCTGGTGGCTGCCAGCATTCCTTGGCTTGTGACTGTATCACTTCTGCCATCTCATTTATTTCTTCTCTTCTGTAGTCAAATCTCCCTCTGTTTCCCTTTTATCAGGTCACTACTTGAGATTACATTTAAGGCCCACTTGGATAATCTCCCCATCTCAAGATCCTTAACTCATCACAAAGGATGAGTTACAAAGTCCCTTTTGTCACACAAGGTACCATTTGCAGGTTCCATGGATTAAAACTTGGATCGCCATTATTTGGGGGCCATTACTCAGTCTACCACATAGGGCTAGGTAATATATACTTATTCAAAAGGGGTAATCGCACCTCTGCACTAGTTACTAGTTTTCCTGAAGAAAGAAGAGCCTACTATTGCCACATACTCAAAACCTCGGTGACCAACAGAACTCAGGCAGGCTGCCTGTTTGCAATCTCTGATGTGACTGGTCCCTTTAATACTTGGCAATTAGTATGTAGGAGCTCTGGTGGCTCAACAGAGCTGCTAACCGAAAGGTTGGTGGTTCAAACCCACCCAGCAGCTCCATGGAAGAAGGACCTGATGATCTGCTTCCATAAAAATTACAGCCAAGAAAACCCTATGGGGCAGTTCTACTCTGCAACAACAATAATTAGCATGTTATTGCATGTAGCTATTCCAGACTTAACAGCTGTTGGTTTATCTGTGACAATGGCTTGGGGGCAGTGTCTGACCTCCTCCAGCCTCACAAGGGGAAATGGGAATCAAGATCAATAGCCCAAGGCTGATTCCCAAGAGACAGAGGTCAAGCATGCCTCCTCTCTCTGCTATCATTACTAATTCTGACACCAACCGTCCCTCTCACAGCACTCTCTACTCTGCTGGGTTCGATAATTCATTGCACTGGCCACACAGAACTCACAGACCATACTCACAATTATGGGGCTTATTAGGGAAGTAAGTAACAGTTACATTTCAGGCTCAGGAACACTCAGGATATAGTTCTTCCATCAGGATAGCTTCTTCCCAGCCATGCTCACAGGCACGCCTCTCCCTGGCCCTCAGTCTCTGCCCAAAGGCACTCAGCTTTCTCTCTCCGTGGGCCGGGAAGCCCACCTTGCCGACTCCTGCTGCCAGGTCTCTGCTGCTGGGCTCTCCTTCCTTGGAGGTGGTGGGCTCTCCCTCTCTGCTCTGGAATTGGCTCTCTTTTAAGGCAAAACTGACCAATTCCCTTGGTGGGCCACAATTACCTTATCACACAGTCCCGCCTAATCACCTGGGTGGGAGTTACAAGACCATGGCTAGAAAGGCCATATATAAAAGTAATTAATCACACCGCATTATCCTTTCTGAATATGCCATTACCATAAGTCCTTCTTGCTCACTACTCACAAGATACAATTAAAATGTGCCCAACATCGTCAATACCCCATTTAAACTTATATATCTGATTTGGTAGGATCCCTCGTGGCGCAGCGGTTAAAGAGCTTGGCTGCTAACCAAGGTCAGCAGTTCGAATCCACCAGCTGCCCCCTGGAAACTCAATGGGGCAGTTCTACTCTGTCCTGTAGGGTTGCTATGGGTTGGAATGACTCAACAGCAATGGATTTATTTGATTTGGTAAAGTTGTATCATCTTTATTTGTTGTTGTTGAGAATATACACAGTAAAACATACAACAGTTCAGTGGTTTCTACATGTACAATTTAATAACATTGATTACATTCTGCGAGTTGTGCAATTGTGTTAGACTGGTTTCTCTAGAGAAGCAAAACCAGTGAAGCGTGTGTGTATATATATATATATATATATGTAGAGAGATTTAGCTCAAGGAAATGAATCATGCAGTTGTAGAGGCTGACAAGCCCCAACTCTGTGGGTCAGGCATCAGGCTGAAGGCTTCTCCTGACTGATGTAGCTGCAGGGGCTGACAAACCCAAGATCAGCAGGTAATATGGCAGGCTGTTGGTTCACAAGCTGCAGAGCCTGATGAATCCCAAGGTTGGCAGGTAGTATGACAGGCCACTGGCTTAAGTTCCAAGCAGTGGAGGTCAGATGATGACGATGCAGATGCAGTATCCATAACAAGTAAAAGCCAGTGTGCTTTGCCAAAACATCTATATATACTGGATGCAGGCCACACCCCTGAGGAAATGCCCCTTAAAACTGATTGGCTGATCACATCAGATCACATCATGGAGGTGATTACATTATATCACAAAATGGAGGATAACTACATCATTACACAACTACCAAACTACTTCATTACATAACTCCCAAACCACTGAGAATCATGACCCAGCCAAGTTGACACACAACCTTAACCATCACATGCAACCATTCTCAGCCTCTTTTTCTGAGTTGTTCTTCCCTCATTAACGTAAACTCACTGCCCCCTAAGCTTCCTATCTAATCTTTTGAGCTGCTGTTACTATCTCAGGACAGATG